GCTGCCATGGCGGCTGGGGCCAAGCCCCTTGCACAAATTTCGTGCATCGGGCCTCTAGTTGTAGATAATACAACAAACATGGATGCATATGTCTTTTTGACTGAGTGTTATGGTGTCTTCAGATAAATACACAGAAGTAGAATTACTGGGTACTTCATTGTCTCTCTGTTTTAGAGTCTAATTTGTCTGGTATGCAGTGCTTCCCCAGTGTTTTTTTGTTTGTTTCCATTTTTATGAAGTATCTTTTTCCATTCCTTTACTTTCAGTCTGTGTGTATCTTTCAATCTGAAGTGAGTTTCTTGTAGGCAGCATATGTAAGGGTTTTTGTTATCCATTGAGCCATCCTATCTTTATATTGGAGAATTTAATCCATTTGCAGTTAAAGTAATTTTTTTATTTTTAACTTTATTATTTTTTAAACTTAATTTTATTTTTTTATTGTCTAAAGTTTTACATATGTCTCCTTTTCCTCCAATTTCCCTCCCCCCAGCCGTTCCCACCCCAGGCAAGCCCCCACCTCCCCAGTGTCTGTGTCCATGGTTATGCTAATATGCATGCATACAAGTCCTTTGGTTGCTCTCTAACCCCCCCACCTTTTTTTATTTATTGATTAAGGTATTACATTTGTCCTTTAAAGTAATTTTTGATAGATATATATTTATTGCCATTTCATTATTCATATTTTTATCTCTTTTTTTTCCTTCTTAACAAAGTACCTTTAACATTTCTATAATATTGGTTTGGTGATGATGAACTCCTTTAGCTTTTTCTTGTCTGGTAAGCTCTTTATCTGTCCTTTAATTCTAAATGATAACTTTGCAGGGTAGAGTAATCTTGGTTGGAGATCCTTGCTTTTCATCCCTTTGAATATTTCTTGCTACTCCCTTCTGACCTGCAAAGTTTCTGTTGAGAAATCCTCTGACAGTCTTATGGGAGATGACTTGAAGGTAACTAGCTGCTTTTCTCTTGCTGCTTTTAAGATTCTCTCTTTGTCTTTAACCTTTGGCATTTTTATTATGATGTGTCTTGGTGTGGGCCTCTTTGGGTTCACCTTGTTTGGGATTCTCTGGGCTTCCAGGTTTAGTGTGTCTGTTTCCTTCACCAGATTAGGGAAGCTTTCTGTTGTTATTTTTTCACACATAGGTTTTTAATTTAATGCGCTTTCTCTTCTACTTCTGGTACCCCCATGATGTGAATATTGGTACGCTTGAAGTTCTAGAGGCTCTTTAAACTATCCTTATTTTGTTTGGATTCTTTTTTTTTTTTCCAGTTCTGATTGGGTGTTTTCTGCTCCCTTATCTTCCAAATCTCTGATTTGATCCTCTCTTTCATCTACCCCACTGTTGATTCCCTGTAATGAATTCCTCATATTAGTGTATTCTTCATTTCTGACTGGTTCTTTTTTAAGTTTTCTATCTTTCTCTTAAGGTTCTTCTTCCTAAGTTCATCTAATATTCCTCTAAGTTCATTAAGCATCCTTAAAACCAGTATTTTGAACTCTGCATCTGGTAAATTGCTCATTTCCATTTTGTTTAGTTCTTTTTCTGGAGTTCTGTTCTGTTCTTTCATTTGGAACATATTTCTTTGTCTTCTTATTTTGTCTGCCTCCCAGTGTTTGTTTCTATGTATTAGGTAGAACTGCTGTGTCTCCCAGGCTTGGTAGAGTAGCTTTATATAGTAGGTGTCCTGTAGGGCCCAGTGGTGCAGCATCTCCAGTCACCCAAGCAGGCTGATTAAGGTGTGCCCCCAGTGTGGGCTGTGTGCACATTCCTGTTTTGTTGAGCCTTGATTGCTGCTGGCATCTCAATGGGAAGGATTTACTCCAAGGCTAATTGGCTGCAAGGACTACCCAAGACTACAACAGAGGAGCTGCTGTGCAAGGGCAAACCACAGGTAGCTTCAGCAGGACTCGCTTCAGCATATCTCTTGTTCCCAATGAGTTTGCCTCTTGAGTGTGTCACTCATGGAGATAATTGGCTGGTGCTCCAGCATGGTCTGAAACTGTCCACTGGGTATGCCGGCTCTGAGGCCTTCTGGGAAGTGTAGGCCAAGATCAGCTGCCACCTGTGTTCTGCCTGGGGCCACCTGGCATGAGCTACAGGGAAATCTACAGTTGGCTGGTACTTGTGCTGGACTTGGAAGTGCCTAGGAGAGGCCAAGCTATGAACCAAGGCTGGCTGCTGCTAGTGTGGTGCCTCAGGCCACTAAGCAATAGGTAGGGACACAGTAACTGCTTGTTTGGGGTTTGTGGTCCTTTGAGAGATTTTCAAAAAGTCCGCAGCATGAGCCACGACAGGCCATTTGTATGGAAAAGCCACTAGAAGCAGCTTGGGAGAGCCTGCAACTTGTGTGGGTCAGAGTCTCAGAGCATCAACAGGGCTGGGCAAACAGTATTAACCAGGTTGATGGCACCCGCCTCCTGACTCTGTGTGGAGAAGGATCAGGAAGGGAACAGTGGCCTCTGCCTGCACTTCTGTCTGGGAGAAAGCTGCCCTTCCACCCCTCAGTGGACAGTTCAGTTCCTGGAGCCTTTCAAGCTGCTGTCCCAGTGTTGGAGCTCAGAGAGTGAGACTGAGTAAGTTTGTGCATGGGCCCTTTAAGAGGAATTGCCAGGGACTCCAGTAGCCCTCCATCTCAGCCTGAATCCCTGCGCTTTTCACAGCCAGAAGTTCTGGCACTGGAACCTTGGTCTAGAGGGCCTGGTATGGGGCTGGGCTCCTAGCTCCTCATGGGGGACCTCTGCATCCAAGATTTCCCTCCCAATTTTTATCTGCTACATGCAGGCGTGGGATCAGCCTCTTATGCGTCTCCTCCCTCCTACCAGTTTAAATGTGGCTTCCTCATCCAGTGGCTAGACTTCAGGTGGTTCTTTTTTGTTTTTTATTTAAGGGTTTGGGGAGGGGGGTGTAGGGAGCTCACTGGAGGGAGAGCCAGGTGGTTCTTAATGACTGTTCTTCTGTAGTTATTTGTAATTTTTTATTGATTTCAAAG